TAAATGTGCTTTTGCCAGAGCTTAAGCATGCATTTTAACTATTAATCGAGGGCAGATTTTCTATGCTGTTTGTTCATTTTTTTAATACAGCACCATCAGTTTTCATGGCACATAGCAGCATAGCTGGGGAATCTATGGTTCTTCAGACATTGCTTAATTCCAGTTTCCATCAACTTCCTCTAATGAAATAGAAATGGGGGTTGCAGTTAAACTTCTGGCAAGCTGTACATTTCCCTTGAGAGATTCCAACCATGATGTAAGTAAAGGCAGTGGAAAAAAGGGGAAAATATGTGGTTCCCATTCAAAATCACCATTTTGTGTAAGTTTTGTCAGAAAAGAAAAGTTTTCAAAGGCTCATAAAATAATCAGAAGGTGTATCCACACATGGAGAACTATAACTGAAATACCCCATGTAAACCTGGGATTTGCCATTTGGTGAAATACTTAAAATTCTGTCTATTAGATAGCTCCAGTCCACACTACTAAACCAAATCACAAAAGTAAAGAAATCACCAACTACAAATCTCAGAATACCACAGAATGGAGCCATGGCCATTAATGTGGTGTCAAAGTTCTATAATTGTTGGGTATAGCTATTTTTCCAAGGAAAGATTGTTTAGCTTGTAGAAGCAGATGGTTCCCCATATGGTAGGATGCTATAGAGAAAGGCCTTTTACAAACTGTCAAATATGCCTCTGATGAAACATGCACCTCAGCTTTCCTGGAAAAAAAAATACAGATTTTATAATGTTCCCAACATATAACTCATTTGTAAGGGACGAGAGACAGGGCCTTCTCGGCGGTGGCCCCCTGCTTCTTGAACAGCCTCCCCAGTGAGATTAGGTCAGCACCATTCCTCCTCTCCTTCAGGAAGAAGCTTAAATCATGGTTCTGGGGCCAGGCATTTGGGGAGCAGACTTGATAGCCATTGCAATGTTTACATGAACTGCCAATGGACAGGCTCTGACAAAGTCTTGGGATGCTGAATTGGATTGGATTTGGCTAAATGGTTGTTAATGTTTTTAAAATGGATTTTAATTTAATGGTTTTGCTTAATGTGTAATGTTGTGATATACTGTGTATGTATTCTGTATGCGTTGGCATCAAATTGTTGTTGCTGTTGTAAGCTGCCCTGAGTCCCCTTTTGAGGATGAGAAGGACATGGTACAGATGTTGGAAATAATAATAATAATAATAATATCCCATTTTTCAAAATTATACAAATGGCTAGTATGAATCAGCCTTTAATCCCATAGCAGTAGTCACTATTTCATTTTTTTTCCATTGGAAATACAATTTGTAGTAGAACCACAGTGGAAATGGAAGTCTGAAACTTCTCTCCCAGCACACGCATCCAAGTGTCCTCATTTGGTTGAGAATTCCCTACCCCAGCAATTTATTCTGGAGGAAAACACCACCTTGGGGCTAAGGTTGTCACACCTGGTTTGCCCTGAGGGAAAGCCATATTGCTGACTCTTTTCATAATGATATAAGCTGTCAGTTGTGAAATATGAAACATCTCTGCATGCCAAACAACTGTCAGTACCACACACCATTAAATGGCAATGATCAAATGTGACCAGATGTATCTGTTATCCAATAATATTCAAACTGACTGCTATTAGGTGTCAAATACACATGTTACACAGCTAGAGATTATTTTCCTACTCAGAAAATATCTACGAAATCTAAGGACCTGATGAAAAGGAGAAAAAGAGAACACATACAGCTCCATCATGACTCAGCCCACCTGTTCGGTCACATCTTTGCCCTCTATTCCAACTGTCCCAAATAAGGTCCCACCTTCAATCCTTCAATCCACCAAGCTTATAATAGCAGGTGACCTATAGTAGTGTGACTTATGACATATGCATGTTGAAGGTTCCTTCTTTTTCATGAAATACTATGAAAACTATTAATAATACTCCATTTTGGCATAATCAGTAATGTTTACTTATTATATCTAAAATTAGTTTTAGGGGTATATGAGGATTGTTTTAATTGTTACTTAATAATAAAGGTATCAAAAAGGCAGCATAAATATGTGAGAGGAAGTCATAGGGAGGAGGGAGCAAGCTTTTCTGTTTCCTTGGAGACTAGGACGCAATGGAACAATGGCTTCAAACTACAAGAAAGGAGATTCCATCTGAACATTAGGAAGACCTTCCTGACTGTGAGAGCCATTCAGCAGTGCGGTAGAAGCTCCTTCTTTGGAAGCTTTTAAACAGAGGCTGAATGGCCATCTGTCAGGGGTGCTTTGAATGCAATTTTCCTGCTTCTTGGAAGGGCATTGGATTGGATGGCCGATGAGGTCTCTTCCAACTCTATGATTCTACATGTTGCACATAACAAATTAGGACTAACATGAAGGCTCTGGCTCCTCAGTTAAAAATTGAATGAGATAGTGGAAAATATCAAATCAGATAATTTATATAGTCATGTATGTGTATAACATAAAATATTTGTCTCTGTGGCATGAATGTGTGGGACATACCAATGAGATAGTTTGTTCCCATTTCTGTCATTCCATAATTATACTACATGCACAATTCCATTCCTTCCCCTAATATACACAGTGTATAGAAACATACCTCACTAATACAATTGGTCAGGTTCAAGACCAGGCTTATAAAATGAATATAGCCTTAAAGTGAATGACAAGCTTCCTCATTTCCTCATTTATATGCATATAAAAGCCTAAAAACACATTTACACTAGCATTTATTAAATGCATTATGTCCTAAAAGAGATGCAAAAGTAAAAACTAAATGCATAGAATTGACAGAATATGACATTGAGACATAAAGTGCACAAATGCTCTAAACAGACTGAGCAGAAATTGCAAAATGGCATTGTACTGTATAGTTGAAAAGTGCTGTATTAGCAAAGCACTATAAAGCAAACTGTCTTAAATTGAAGTATTATTTTATCTGTCATTCCTAGGTATGCAAATCCTGTCTTGTTTCGTCCTTGCACAGTCAGTTGAACATCTTTTTAAAAAATCTTATTATGTAATGAAGTGGGCTGGTAAACTTTTGTTGTTGACAATGGCACCCCTGCAAATATGTTACAGATGAAAACCAGGGCATGTGTGGCCAAGCTACATCAAGCTATGGTCAAGATGGCAAAAGTTATGAGTGAGGAAGAACTGCCTGACATGAATGGGAATATTCTACCCACTCCTTTCCTCCTCCTCTTGCACGTTGGACCCAATTTGCAGCAATTAAATTAGCTGAGAATAAAAGAAGAAAATGGAAATAAGAGAGAAAAATTCAAGAATGCTAAAAGCTGCTGAAAACAATTGGAAGGCAGAGGAGCAATGGGACCTCTCCTTGTCAAGCTGAAACAGTTGGGGGTATACAATAGTCTCTATGGGAATGTACGTGTGTGTGTAGTAATTCTTTAAAATGTATGGTACTAAAATGCAATGATTGTTGCCTTTTAGCACAATAACTGTCATGGCTAGCCTAGCTGAGCTCAGCCTCTGCTGAAGATGAGCCTTCAGCAAATGCAGATACTCCCCAGCATTTAGAGCAGTGAAGGGTTAACCATCTCTCCTCTGGAGCAAGAAAAGTATCACAGGTCTCAGAAATTATCTGAGAAAGTATGATCAATCAAACACCAGATGAGTCCAAGAGATAAAAGCCCTCAGTGTACTGACTCTGGGTGGAAGACAACACCACTATATTTGGAACTTAATGGTGCAACCCTTCATTTGATTTCAAGAACTCCTAGCCTCCAGAATTCTGGATGTTGACAAATGTGGCCCTGGCTTCTTTGTTGTTTCTTGTCTTTAAAGCTGACTCCTCTGCTTCTTTTATGACTTCTGGCATTTCTGACTCTGGGCTGGGACTTGACTTTTTTATTATCTGATGTTTCTTTCCGACTTGACTCCGTTGCTTCACCAGCTTGATTTCAAGGAATTCTGACCTCGGCCACTAGGACTTTAGATCTTAACATTGGCTCTCACATCTCTCTGTTTGTGGCTTGTATTTCGTGTTGTTCTGGCCCTTCCACACATTCCTGTATCCTAGAATGTCAAAGCAGAAAATCCCACATTATCTGAGTGTGGATTCAGATAACCCAGTTCAATGCAGCTATTGTGGGATTTTCTGCCTTGATATTCTGAGATATAGGGCTGTGTGGAAGGACCCTTCCAAGTACTCCTGAATTTGGTTTCTCTGATATCAGCCTCTTGACTTTGGTTGACACACCGATTGTGTGTTGAAACTAAACTCCTAATAACTTGGCCGAGTTCACAGCAATAGCATAATAGTGGGTTATTTGTTCCTTTGTGATCTATTGTTCTGTTCTGTTGTCTTTGCAATTTGTATTCTTAACTTCAACTATTTTGTGCAAAAAATTGGAGATTTAATGAAGTATATTTTGTAAAAAATAAGGGAAATGCTCTGGAATTAAGCATTTCAATATCATGATGGAGGAGTGTTCTCTGGCATCATTGCTGACATAAAATAACAATAGCTAAGTCTTTTTCCAACACACATATGCACACAGCAAAACATTATATTATTAGAGGGAGTTTGAAAATTCAAATGTGCCCCTTTTTACAGTTCCTTCTTATAATGTGTTTGGCACATGACTTTAAAATATGCATTTTGGGTAGCATATTTTCTGATACACATAGTTGAATTTATCCAAAGCAGAAGATAAAATTATGTCCACCTACTATCCAAGGCAACATGCATGCCATTCGGGACCAGTCAAAATATTTTGATATCTGATTCAAATTTTCACAACCACAATTATCATTTCACTGCAAATAAAATACAGATAAATTAAAAATAAAAACCTTGCTCTTCTCTTAGTACAGCCTGAGTCTACTGCTAAAGGTCATTGCTTTACTGTGTCTTATAGGTCTGGTCCAGTTGGGTCATTTTGGGACCTCAATAGTTTTGAAACTTTCAGGGAGGGAAATCCAGCATGTTGAAAAGCATTGTGCAATAGTTTTGTATTAATGTATTAAAGGGTAAAAGACTCACCTTCCTAACCTCAGTTGCCAGCTGCTGAAGTGAAGGTGATGCTACAGAGTGTACAACTGCTTTGCCTCTTAAGGGATCATGCAGACTTATATAGGCCACTGCATTCTTCTGGAGAACATTTTTGAGGTCCTAAAACACAAATAATCGTGGTTTATAGGCAGAGGCGGCCCTAGGTAATTTTCAACGGTAAGCAAACAGTATTTTGCCGCCCCCCCCCAACCAATCATTGATATATATTTTCTGTGTGCCATATTTGGTTCAATTCTATCATTGGTGGAGTTCAGAATGCTCTTTGATTGTAGGTGAACTATACATCCCAGTAACTACACTTGCCTCACTTGCCTGGCCCGCTTTGGGTCCGGAGGCGTGCCTGAAGACCCCGGCGTGTGCACCAAAAGTCACCTCTTCTCCTGACTTTCTCCTCAGCCATTGGGACCGAGAGAGAGAGAGAGAGAGAGGTGGAGATGCCCACCTTTCCTGAAGGTAGGCACAAAAACAAAGGAGGGAGCGGAGGTGGGAGATACCTCCAGCCGGAGGGGCTCTCTCTCTCTCTCTCTCTCTCTCTTGGTCTCAATAGCTGAAGAGAAAGTCAGGAGAAGAGGTGACTTTTGGTGCGCACGCTGGGATCTTCAGACATGCCTCCGGACCCGAAGCGGGCTAGGCGCGGCGGCTCCGCCCCTTGGCCCACCCGCGGATTGGGGAGAGGAGAGGAGGTGGGTGGAGCGCCGGGGATCGGGAAAGGGAGCCGGTCATGGGGAAGGGATCGAACGCGGAGAACGATTGAGCGCCGGCTCTGCTCGCACCTGGTGGCCAGGTGGAGCAGGAACGAGAGGGGCTAGGCGAGGCTCAAGGGCCCGGCCCCTTTGGGAAGAGGATCGCCCAGCAGCGAGGCAAGAAAGACGAGGCTCCCCCTGGACTGCTAGGGCTGTTGTGAGCTGAGCGGGCGCTCCTCAAGTGGCAGTCGAGGGGCATTTAAAGAGGCGCCTCTGCGCCCCTGGCAAAAAAAAGTGTTCTGCGACCACTTACTTCGCTTAATGGATGAGCCGCCCCTGTTTATAGGTTAGATTATGATTAAGACATTTAGATTTTTGTCCCTTGTAAGGGGTGGAATATAAGAAAAAAATCTGCTCTCTCCAATTCTCTAAGTATTGCTTAACTCAATTTTCCTCAAATATCATTTTATGAACTTCAAAGGATATATTTTTGTTTGTTTGTTAAATTTTTCTCTGAGGATATAATTCCTTTTTTTCCACATCATCTGAACAAAATACAAAATGGGGCCTGAAGGAATTAAGAATGGCTGCAGTTCTAAAGCAGAGAATAAAAAATTACATACTGTGAAATGACAGGACATTTTGCCCAAATCTTTTTAATATTTTAAACTTGCACCTGAGAGGCACCAAACTTCAAATATAATCAATATCCAAAGTGTTCAACATTTCAAATTATATTTAAGATCCAAATGGCATCATTTCTCCAGTGTGGCTGGGCTTTATAATTATTTAAAAGTGAAGGGATCTCTATAAGCCAGGTTTCAATTATTTCTTATTTGTCTTTTCAGTAATGAGCTGCTTGTTCCATGAAGAGGCACTTTATGCTGAACACAAGGGGTGTACAACACCTGATACAGGATGAATTGAAGCATCACTAAACAAACTTTGCTTTCAATTCATTTCAAAGAATGCTTTTGATCCTTTGGGTGCAGCTGGCACTGTATATATTGTTTACCTAGATTAGGGCTTTACACATTGCTTATACACAGTCCCAAGCTATTTGACCATCAGTTCAGTGCAGTTCCATTTCAGTATTGGTAGCATTCCTTTTCTTTAGAATTCAATAGCTAGGTACTAATAGATCACTCCATTTCCAGCATGAGACAGATCTGCAAAAATATTCATTATTAAATGAGTTCCATGTTCTATTCACATTATCTTTTGTTGTTGGGTATTATCATCATCATTATTAAAATGGTCAAGATTCTACATGGGAGAAACAACTAGAATGTAGTAGCTATGCATCATCTCCAAATCCCTTAAAAGTGACTCTAAAACCAGGCTGCACCATTGAGCAGAGGCAAAGGGAATTGCCTGCCAACCCCTGAAATGATGAAACAAGACAACAGTAATTTGGATTCAAATGTTGGGCAACTTTATTGTTACCTATTTAACTTCTTAACTAAACTAAGTTAGGTATCAGTTGAACTTGGTGTAGTAAAGCCAAGGTAGCGTCTTGATACAGCCTACCCCTCGGCTATTCAAGGCGTAATGCCTGGGTTTCCTGGTAAGTTAAACACAGTCAACCTCTAAATGAAATGTCCAGAGAAGTCTCTCTCAAATTATTGAGACCAGACTCTCCCCATTCCTGGGCCATTCTATATCACCTCACCCTTAAAGTTAACCTCTAGGTGAGTGTTTGTTTAATGGCCCACACCCTTTAAGGGGTGCTTTGGGTATACACCAACCTTTGTATTTCTAATCTAAGCCTATTTATACACTAAGCCTATTTATACACTGACCATCCCAGCTAGCCCCTGATAGTAGTATAGGGTAGGTGAAAAACTCCTACCCGGTCCTGAAAGGCAACCAATAATTATACTGCCAATGGGCAGGAATGGTGGATGACATCCTGAAGCAGAATGAGGGAATAGGGCTGGCCTACAAGCAGGCTAGCCCCACTCCCTTTTTTCTCTGGGGGAGGAGGCAAATTGCTCTCACCCCCAGCTGCGCAGGGATGGGAAAGTCCCATGGGGTGTTAGAGGCAGATATTTCCAGCCCTCTTCTTCCACTAAGCCAAAGTGTGTTACGCAAAAGAAGGGAACCCTGTAGATACCCATCAGACCTTCTCATTGCACCACTACATGCAGGTGGAAGGGGTCTAGGAGGCATCAGGAGAGGTTCAGCATCCTGCTTCCTGACATCATAGAAATCCTTTGTTAGATACAGCTGTCTGGCTTTTAAGGTAAGTTTTATGGGCATTTTTGGCCATGGCAATGGCACCATAATTATAAATGCAAATGTTACAAGATCATGAGTTCTAACTAACAGGGTATCAAGTATTGTGTTCTGATTTTTTAATTCCTAATTCATTCTGTTGCAATGCATTTTGTGTGCTGTTGCCTCTCAGGGCTCTTCCATACAGCCCTATATCCTCGAATATCAAGACAGAAAATACCACAGTATCTGCTTTGAACTGGGTTATCTGAGTCCACACTCAGATAATGTAGATTTTTCTGTCTTGAAATTCTGGGATATGCATGCAAAGTTGATGGGAGCACAAAATAAGACCACCTCATTTGTCATTCTTTTCCCAGGTAGACCTAAAAGACACCCTGTTTACTATCCTTTCATCAACAGAGAAATACTTTTTATTCTGACAGGCTTTGAAAACCTAAAGGTTTTAAAAGAAAATGATAACTGCATTCCCATCTTCATATCCATCCACTCAGTATGAATCAGAGCAGTTTGCCTTAAAATGTGGACTGCTTGAACTTCTCTAGAATCTGAATCTGCAGCTTAGTCAAAACATTCTATTTGATTTTTAACTTCAGATCTAAACCCATTGAATATTGCAAGCTTCATGTACAACAAATTGTGGTATGTCAAAGGTAACATGTAGCTAGGTTAAATAAATGCATGCTCTAGTATTGGAGACAGTAGCATGTTTTTATATTTCTAGCATGTACATAAGGGGACATATCCATTTAACTAAATTCCAACATGTTATTTTATGTCCTGTTCCAGTATTCTGTGGCACCAAATTCTTGCTCCTGAACATTTCTAAAAGCTGGGGGGGGGGGCGCACAGGAAAAATAACTTTTTAATATTGAGAAAGCAGGATCCAAAAGAAGTAAACTACTGGATCCTTGCCATAAAAGTTGAACTTACTCTGCAATTAATTCATCACAGTTCATCTGGATTCTTACAATACAAATACATTTCTTGGAATTTTGTGGCTACTATATAGACATATGACGAGTCAAAATGTGTAACTCATTATGACTGATAATATCTCAATATTCTGATACCAATGTATTCATGTAGATTTAAATTAGGTTTTAACACCATCCATCCATCTTTTCTCCTTAACTTGGTGTTTTATCTTACCTGCAAAACAAGCATGTACCAATTTGCCACCCATCTCCATTGTCCTTCCTGCTTATTTATCTAGTTGCCCATATGCTACTGATTAGCATAAGTCTGGTAGATGGAAATTTCCCAGGTGTATGCTGGAAACTACTCAGGGCACAATGAGTGTTAATGAGGCTGGGTCTACACTGCCCTGCTTATCCCAGGTTATCTGGCAGTGTAGACTCATATAATCCAAAACAGATAATCTGGGATCAGATACTGGGATGTAGGGCAGCATAAATCCAGCCTCATTAACACTCTTTGTGCCCCAATTAGTTCCCAGCATCCATCTGGGAAATTATTTCCATCTACCAGTTCACAATTCAGTTGACTCTTTTTAGCTTTTGTTTGCAACTAAGGAAAGTTTAATTATCTCCAAATTGGAAGGGACATTGAGAAACACTTATGATTAATTGCCTGTACTGATATAGGCTAATAGCTGTTAGAGCTCAATTCCCTTCTACACGTCCTTAAATGTTACAATCACTTTGTTTCTGATATCTAAGCTACCAATAAATAAATCTAATCACTATTGAAGAATACATATGATGTATCTAGGAATATGATGTATCTAGAAAACTACCTGCATGCTCATCATTTTTCTCAACAAAGCAAACATGCTATTCCATTATCTGGGTTGTTGTCAGTTTTCTGGGCTGTATGGCCATGTTCCAGAAGCATTCTCTCCTGACATTTCACTTGCATCTATGACAGGCATCCTCAGAGGTTGTGAGGTATGTTGGAAACTAGGAAAATGGGGTTTATATATCTGTCCAGGGTAGGAGAAAGAACCCTAGTCTGTTTGAAGTAGGTGTGAATATAGCAATTGGTCCCCTTGATTAGCATTTAATGGCCTAGAAGTTTCAAGATTTGGCTTCTTGCTGTCTGGGAGAATCCTTTGTTGGGAGGTGATTAGCCTTGATTGTTTCTTGTCTGGAATTCCCCTGTTTTTGAGTGTTGTATTTTATTTACTGTTATGATTTTGAAGTTTTTTTTAATACTGGTAGCCAGATTTTGTTCATTTTATGGTTTCTTCCTTTCTGTTGAAATTGTCCTCATGCATGTGGATTTCAATTGCTTCTCTGTGTAGTCTGACATGATAGTTGTGTTAGAGCGGTCCAGCATTTCTGTATTCTATTATCAGTTTGAAAGACTTTGGGGTACAGGCTTGTGAGGGGCAAAATGAGGACATTGTCCCTCAAATAAGATTTTTGATCCCTCAAATGAATGTTTTCTTAGGTGCCAAAATGTATGGCATTAAAGACAGTGAGGCATTGATATTTCACAACTCATAAAGGCTTCGGCGATGATATGGTCAGCCCTCTTCCTGGAACTGGGATTTCCTGTAAAGGATACATCATTACTTATGTTCCACCCCACCTCCCACACATTCTGAAATGCCCATGTGGGTTGGGGGCTGTGATACCTTATCTCTGCTGATATACATTAGTGATTGGTTTAATAAGCTTTACATTATTTCATTTGGGGTTTTTTTTGTCTGAAATGGCTTAAAATGGTTGTTATAGTATATTGTCCCAAGATCTTGTGATAGAACGCAACATAGAAAAAAGTAATGAAAACTAAATACATTTTTTAAAACCCTGATGTCACATATGACATCAAATTCTTAACCATCTTTAGTTATTGCCCACAAGAGAAGGATCCAGGGGAACCGGAAGGAAAAAATATTAAGGAGAAAAAACAGAAGGAGGTGTCTATGGGTCAGAAGCAGCATATGACAAGAGCTGAAGCCTTTTGTAGTCGCCCCAGTAAACTAACCCTTGATAGCTACACTAGTAGCAAACCTTCCTACACTAAGAAAAGACGTTTCTCAAAAGGCCATCATTTCTTACCTCGGCCCATTCATAGGAACCAATCTTGCCAAATTCTGTTTGTCCCCATGAGCAGAAAATAATGGTCCGATCTGGTTTCCAGCCTTTCTTTACTTTCCGCATCAAAGCTTGGATTAATGCAGTAATCACTGCGGTGCTGTGAGCCCACTGCTGGTTACCGTAACTGGGTAAGCTGTTGTGGTGGCTGCCAGCTATAACATATCTATCTGGAAAGAAAAACAATTGGGTGTTTTTTTTTGTTAATTAAGTGGCAAGAGAAAACATGTCCTTCAAATGTTGATGGTATCCCCAAGCTTTTCCATTCTTGCCAGCTGTGACACATCTGCTGTTTGCCGTTGAAACCAGCTGGGTTCAAGAGGAATTTTCATCATAAAGCAGCAGTTTCACCAGTTAAGCCATAATTAGATGGTAGCCAATTGGTATTCTGAGAAAAGATGCCAATGTATTTGCACATATTGCCAGTCTCACATCATTGTTTGTGGTGTGGTAGCATTATTTACAGTAAGTGTATATTTTGATAGTATGTTATTCTATTGACCTAGCTAGAAGCACAAGATATTAAGTGCTTGTTTCATAACCAACTGAAATGGATATGAACTGCTTTATGTAATTATATTTCAATTTGCATGTTTTTTCACTCTTCATTGCATTTTTGAAAATCTAAACTGGGTTACACTTGAATATAGACATGTGTGAAGAGTTCTTGAAAAAAGTCTCACTTATATTGATCTAATCTTAGATTGCCCACTGGCTTGAAATGCGTACATACTTTAGTTAATGTGGGGATTCAATTTAAAATGTAAAATATGCAAATGAACATGAATTCATTTGGCAATATATGAACAAAAAGAGATGCATCTCATCCAGACAAACTCATACTATCTTATACAGTCAAAAATGGGCATGGTGAGATGGAAAAAATATAGCATCTAAGGACTTTATGTGGATTTTCTAGGGCTGAACATTCCTAATTAGAAGAAATAATTTTGTGTGTGTAGGGTATATGTGTGTTTAGATTGCCTACTAACGTGTCTGGCTATTAATAAAACTTTTAATAATAAAAGTTTACTTATATGCTTCTCTTTCTCCCTGGAGAGACTCAGGGTAGATTCCAAACATAAAAGGCAAACATTCAATGCATGATTACAACAACAATACATCCATAATAATAAAAATTTAACAACCCAACATATAAGCACCAATTATGACTTAAGAACTAAAATTAAATTAAAAAATGCAGCCTGTTATAACAGACATAAGACAAATAATCAGATATTGAACGGAAGCATCAATTCCCCATTTCCTTGGGGCAAATTGATTGATCATTGCTCAAGATATCTATTGAGCTGGTGGGGTGAACAGGGCATGGATACGGGTGATAGCTATTAATCAGAGGTATAATGGTAGCATTACCACCTCCTCCTCCTCATAAGCCAGTGAGCAAAGGTACATCTTCAGCTGTTTCTTGAAAGCAGGGAGGGAGGGGGGTATCTTTAACTCCTTAGGAAGGGAGTTACAGAGGTGGGGGGGGGGGTGACCATGGAGAAGGTCCTTTCTCTCGGTCCCACCAGCTATGCTTGGGACAGGGGTGGGACTGAGAGGAGGGCCTCATCTGATGACCGAAGTGTCTGAGTTGGGAGAGCGGTTTGTCAAATAGTCCTGAGATATATATATATATATATATATATATATATATATATATATATATAGTTGTTGGTTTCCTTGCAAAACATGGGGAAAGAAAGGAATAATTAATAATTGATCCAATGAAATAAGTAAACCTAAATGTTTGGCTATATTTGAAGTCTATCTAACATACATAGCCACTTAGCCAATATTGTTTTTTGCTTTATTTGTCTAAAAACCTGCAAACTCACTTAGATGTGGGGTTGCTTCTTGAAATAAGGGGTAGGGCTCCTATGCTTATCAACGTTGGATAGAAAGGGGCATTTCATAAGGTGTTCCTTGTGTGATCAAAAACAAAGAAGCTAAACCCTATATGTGGATCAGGGAAATATATTCTCTTCCAGATCTTCTCTAAAATTTGAACCCCTATGACCCAAAGCCATCACTAATAGACCTATGGGACATGGTTGCCACACATGTTAATCCTTCTCTCTAAAATCCAACAGACATTGCAGTTGATTACAGTGTATGTTTGTAAAAACTCAATTTTTCTTTTAGTTTGGTTCATACCCTACTTTTTTCCTGAATGTAAGTCAAAACGTACAAAAAGTCCATCCATTTCCTAAAGCTGCTGAAAAAAATATGTGTGACGTCTTGAATTTTTGAAGTAGGATTTCTTTGGTTAATGGGAAGATATTCTACTGAAGTTTCCAGCATAATGGCACTGTTAACTACTATAAATGTCAACTATTGATGGAATAGTGCTTTCTCTTCCTTTGTGAGCTGCTTCCACAGAATCCTTTTTGAGTTGAAAAGTGAGGCATATCTTAGACAGAATAAATTAATGAATAAATAAATAACCAGATGCCAATTTAAAGATGATCATTTTAGGAAATCAGCTTGAGAATTTTCATATTATTCTTATGAAGACTATTTGGTCCCTTCTTTTTAAAAAAGCTGTCATTTTTTTCACCTGAGGGAACAAATTTGTTTTACATTTTATTTGATGAGAGTCTTGGTAGCAATTGTAGTTTAAGGCACATAAAAAGGAGAATTGTAGGAAGTTCCCCCCTAATAGTTCTGGAAAATTTACAGGGAAACGTAACACTTATATCTGTCATGATGATTCTAGCTTTGCAATTATTTAACCTTAAAAAGATGCTTTCTTTAACAAAGACATTTAAAGGTCCTTATTTTTATTTCATGTTATTCATCTATTCCTGTTGGTGACGTGTTAAAATTTGTCAGGGATGTGTTTACCGCAAATTGTATGCACAATGAATTGCCTATGAAATTACATATTCCTCAGAGTTTCTCCCCTCCCATGCTATTACTGCTTATGAGCATTTTTTTAAAAAAAAAATTGGGCACACACAATCTGATTGACATATATCATTATCTCCACAGCAAAGTGGCAGTTCTTTTCACTTAACAGGTACTGACAACAGTAATATTTCAGAAACAAGTTGTGTTAGGCTTTTAATTCAGAAAGCCACTTTGAATTGAAGCTGGATGTTTTCCTGAAAGAAGTTTCTAAACCCTGGGAGGGAAAGCAAAGCAAACTTCATTGATTCTGTTTAAGGATTGATATGATATAGACCTGATAATTGAAAAGTCAAAACAAGATTACATAAATGATCACTTTAAAATATCAGTATCTTAACACAGCCGTTCTGAATCTTTTCTTCGCACACCTAATAGACATTTCCCACTCAGCTACTGTCATACCCAATTTCCATCTCTGATTGTTTTTGAGGCAATAGGTGGAAAAAACAAGTTTTCCAAAAGAAGCATAGAAAATTAAGATTTTTTTCCATTTCCCTTTCTGGCTTGATTTCATTTGTTCATTCAGATTTAATTGCAAAAAATCATAACATTTCTTCAATCCTTTGAAGACAACATTGCAGCCTCTCGGGGGTCCTCAGACCCCAAATTGAGAACCACTGCCTTAAAACTGTCAGATTCTGGAAGCTCTTGGAATGAAAGGTGAACTCACAATGATCAATCACTGGAAAGAAATCATTTATTCCTTCTTTCCACACATCCTAAGAAGACAGTTCTAAAGTTTTCCCATGAAACACCTTGTATATATCAATCCCAAATTCCCATCACCTTCTACTGGTCAAACACTGTTCCCACAGTGGATTTTCTGCCATTTCAATTTCCCAGAAGACCAGATGATCTTATCTATAGTACACTCCTCATCCATCTTCCCCAACCCCACCCACCCCCCTTTCATGGCCAGAAGAAACGAAGCAGCCAATTCCAGGCTGATATGACCATCCTGACATAAAACAATAAATTAAATGAATATAAGGGGAAATAGAGATATACATACCGGGAAGTATTGCTCCTTTTAAATATCCAATAACATTGGACATTGTCTTATATGTCGGAAGAGACTGAACATTCAAAGTGAGGATTTTTCTTTCTGTTAGAAAAAGAAAATAAATCTATTTGAGATGTTGGTAAATTGAACTAACAAATCCATTAAAAAGTCTTCATCAGGAGAGGATCCATTTATCTAAATAACAACTTCCAAAATTTGTCAATTTCTTTATAAATTCAATTGAAAAGACGTGTGTGTGTATCCTGTGTGACCATTCCCCAGATAATGATGCTGGGGAAAATGGATGGAAAAAGGAAGAAAGGCCGGCCAAGGGCAAGATGGATGGATGGTAACTTTGAAGTGACTGGCTTGACCTTGAAGGAGCTGGGGGTTGCCACAACCAACATGGAGATCTGATGTGGGCTGGTTCATGAGGTCACAAAGAGTTGGATGCAAATGAACGGATAAACAACAATTACCATTATATAACACACACCACGTTACCTGCACAGCTGTGCAATGCTTCCAATGTAAATATCTTTCCAACCTCACTTACTGGCAAGCAGCCACTGCGATCCATGGGCACTGATCTAGCTCACTTTCCTACTCCCTTTTATGACACTTTAGCAATGTTCAATTGCTGTCCATGGTTAAAAATAAAATGGAGAGGTATACTCATCCAGACAGGAAATGTTTATTCCTTAGATTTTAAAATGCTGGCTTTGAATCCCTTTGCTATTCTCCTCTTGGTGCTGAAGAAATCCACCATCTCTGCTTTCCTGACAGGCTCTTTAACTGTGATATGGTAGAGGGATTAAACACTAAAGATTTCATAGTGGGAATAGCTGAACAGGGGTGTAGCTGTTGTCGAGTGTGCCAAAGGGATACTCTAAGGGAAGCACATTCTCTTCTTAATCTCAAAGCCAATTATCCCTCAAATTATCCCATTCTCCAATCAGTTTATTTTTGGTATCACCTTACAAGCATTCAGGAAAGTTTAATGGGGGGCACATTGTTACATAGAAAGCAACCTGTCTCTCTGTCTTTGTTAAAAGGGCTTTCAAGTTCATGCTCTGAGCATTTGACTAATGAGTTTGCTTTAAAAATTAATTAAAAACGAATATCTTTTTTCTTTTACCTCTCAGACCGGGAAAACAAATTGCCTCATTACAGACTGAAATGGGAGCAACAGCAAATACACCTTTCTTTCAGCAAACTGTTAATAGTGAGATTCACTGGGAGAAATGATACTCTAGTAAGAATGTAAATATTTTTAGTAGAAATTTTACCCCCATATAGATTTACTATTCAGAAACATTTGTGCTTTATATGAGTTGGGGCAAGATAGAAGTAACCAATCTAATACACTGAATTTGTTGGCCTGTGCATATATTTATTACTGAGATGCCTGCAGTTTTGGTGACATTGGTGGTAGTCCCACTTTTTTCTAACCAAAAAAAGTTTCTTTGTAGAAACTGTAGCATTTAACATTAATTTGTAAAGCTTCAAGTCCCTTGAAAATGAGCTGTTGCCTTTCCATATTGTATGTTGGAATTCTGGAAGATGGAACACAATATTTTCTTCAAGCTGCAATACTGCATCCAGATGGTGCCCAGAACCCCACTAGGCACAGATTAGTGACAGGGTTATTGTCATAAGAGACTGCACGTATGAGTAAGAAAAGAGGCGCAGAAGGAGAATGGTGGGGATTTATAATTTTGTGTGATATGTTGGAGAGCATAGCCTGTATCATAACATCATGTTCTTGAGTCTTTCTCTGTAGCTTTGGGCCACCTGTAGCTTTGGGTCACTTGCAGCATGCAATGTCCTGATATCAAAAGAGTGTAAGTGTTCTTCCCTTAACTAACAAAAAGGGAGGTCCCATGCTTCCTTGAATGGGTATGTTCCATATTTTAATGAATAATGATGCACTCTTCTGTGTCAACTGACATCTTCTAGAATCAGACAATAAAATGAACAGACACATTGTACATTGATGTTCCCTAGTTTAAAGGCTTACTGTGCATAACAAAAGGCTCAGAGAGCTCTCAATGTACTATAGAGAAGAAGTAAAATTTAATTTGCCTTAAACAGTTCTGACAACAAATCTCCCTTTCCAACATTAGATGTCCGATCAAAGACTTTAAAGGTCTTGACAACTTTATCTCTTTCTCAGCTGTGCTCTGGAAAGTGACAGGGAGACTTTAGCTTAATGCAGCTTGAAATATTCTCTAAACTTTATCTAAGCCATAAAGCTACTTCACGACTAAAAGAACAGAAAAGGATTACTATTATCATTAATAGTTCTCTTTAGTTCCATCTTTCAGAGCCTTTTAACTTCAAAACTACAAGTCATTACACAGCTAATGTGTGTAACCTATGTACCCTACCACTGTTTTCCACAAGCCTGTGTAGTGGGTGGATAGTAACAAAATTCCATGGGAATAGTTGCATCGCTGTATGCCCTGAATGTTCAAAAACAGTCAAAATTGCTACAAACCATGTGGGTGTTTCAATGTGTCATACAGTTCTTACTTACAAACAAAGTATAGTCACTCATGCTAATTTTCCTTCTGAACGTTATTGTGCAATGTGCAAATGCTGATCTTAGAAAAGGTTATTTTGTAAACTATTAATGCTCATCCAGGCAAATTAAGAAAAAAACACACTGGTGCACATAGCGACAGCACTGTGGCTCCACTTCAGTTTCCATGACTGCATTCATATGATAGAATCCGTAGGATTCCAAGGATAGAGCCATGGCAGCTAAAATGGGATAATAGCACTACTGCATAGTATAAAGGTTCACAGAACATTAGTGTATCTTCTGTCACAATGAAAATTCCAGCATATTAAGGTTGTATAAAATGCCCATGTCTTCCGGAGAATTTGTGGAGTAAAAATGGGATAGCGTTCCTGCAACGTTAATGGTTGTGTAGATGAGGGTATTTCAGCAGTTATTGCTTGTTATCTAGTTGTGTGACAAACAACAACTGCTAAAATCCCATCTTTTATACAACCATTACATTTTGTATCTGGCAATTTAATAGCAGAACCAGCAGCATTCCATAACCCAGTGACTCAGAGCAAGAAAACACGTGCTCAAATGAGAACGAACTCTTGAGTAGCTATCATGCCTCTTCGTTTAAAAAACAAACAAAATAAAAGGCACCTATAAACAAAACAATTTCATTGTCTTAAAAACTATGCAATTGCTTGAAACTAACACATGTGAGCTGGTCCATGAGGTCATGAAGAGTGGGAAGCAACTGAACAAATAACAACAATGTAAAATTTAATCTGTGTTTTTTCGCCCTTAGCTAATATAACTGACCAGGGAGTCAGCAGTGTGAAGTGGTCTGAGTGCTAAACTTTGGGAAGCACCAATTCACATTCCGTATTGACCAGAATGCTGCAGCCAGGTTACTCACAAAAACGCCCATGAAATGGCATATAACACCAGTGCTGCGGCATTTACACTGGCTCCCAATTGAGTATCGTGGTTTGTATAAGATGCTGGTCCTGACCTTCAAAACTTTATATGGCCAGGGTCCATTGTATCTTAGAGACCGTCTCTCCTTCTCCCATCATCGGAGGTCGCCACGACCATCCCAACACGATTTGCTCCTAGAGAAGTGCACTTGGAAAGCACCAGATGCAGGGCCTTCTCTATTTCTGCCCCTGCCTGATGGAATTTCTTGCCTCCCTATTTGAGAGCCATGTGTGACTTAGGGCATTTTATCCTAGCACTTAAGACCTGGCTTTTTACTAGAGCATTTGACCCATGTTAATTTTAATATTTGTATGTATCTGTTTTATCCTGTATAATTTATGCAATGTAAATTGCCTAGAGCATCTCGGATGGAGGGTGATTAATAAGTAAGTAAAGATGATGATGATGATGATGATGATTCCTGCTTGGGCATGGAAACCCATTAGACCATAGACTCCTAGAGTTGGAAGAGACCACAAAGGCCGTCCAGTTCCACCTTCTGCTAGGCAGGAAACCACAATTGAAGTACCCATAGAATCACAGAAGCAAATCGTCCTCTTTCAGCCTCGAGGAAATTGGAGCCCTTGGTGGTGCAATGGGTTAAACTCTTGTGCTGGCAGGACTGAAGACCGACAGGTCAGTGGTTTGAATCCAGGGAAAGAGCAAATGAGCTCCCTCTGTCAGCTCCAGCTCCCCATGGGGGACATGAGAGCATCCTTCCACAAGGATGGTACAACATCAAAACACCCAGTCACCATGAGTTGGGAATTACTTGAAAGCACACAACAGAGATATGAACTTGTCTTATTGCAAATCTAGCATTATATCTCATTCATAAAACCTGTTATTTATTTATTTATTTATTGCATTTGCAGCTCTTTCTTCAAAACAAATTACTTTCTTTCTCTTATATAACTAGCTAGCTAAATAACTAATGTTATATCAGTATTTCAAATCTGTCAGTTTACTGAGTTAAAAGTATAAGTTTATTTTGAGATATCTGTTAGTATACAAAATAAAATTAATAGGCTTAACAACTTCTACATTGTTGGATACATTGAAACTTTTTTCATTACTGTTTAGCCTTTTACACCTTAGAAATTTATCTAATGAAGATTTTGAATCAAATCTATCAAGAGTTTGTAATATGAGGGTTTTGAGAAACAATTATAACTATATGGGGTTTTTTTATTTATTTAATTGTGCTGTCTAACAAAAGAAGGCTGTGTCGCAGGCCAACAAGTCAGGAAAATATTCCTCACCACATCATTAATATAGTGCAGTTATCTCTGCAAAATTAATCCTTGCTTAGCAGTGTATCAAATAGTCTATGGAGAAAATTAATTGAGAATCAATGGATGCAGACAGAATGCTGAATGTACTGTAAACTTTCTCATGCAGGTCCTTCTATGGCATAATTGATGAAAGAAAGGAAGATTCAGTCAGCGCAACATTGTTTTCTGTCTTCTTCTCATGTAAATGTTTGATCGCCTGGACACAGTTTGTTCGATCTAATGGAGTTTCCTGATAATGGTTGGATGATTTTAAAAGGTTTAACATCAGAACTGGTTATGATATGCATTATCAACCAATAGTAGGCTACCATGCAAAACAATACAGTTTACACTGAGTTTTAATCTGAACTTTGAACTAATAATCTGGGCAGGTTGGGTTGGATTGGCGGGGATATGAGTTTTAAAGGCTATTTTAATGTATTTACTCTTTCCACCCATCTGAACTGCAATGAAATCCAGGATGTTTTGGAGTTTCCAGAAAAATCCAGAATATCCCCCAATTTTGCCTGCAATTGTGCAAATCTGGATTAAATCCAGAAATCCAGGATATTTGCTGAAAGTTGAGCATCATAGAGACAGATTTTTGTTTTGTGATTTTGTGCATATGTCTTCTATTGCTGGTAAAATCAGGTACCCTTAACTTTTTATCTTTTTATAAGCACAACAATTCAGCCTCAAAACCCATGTTACTATTGCTGTTACACATATTTTGGACATGAAAGAATCCTAATAAGATCTTAGTAACAAAATATACTAACATGAGACCCCTGTATAAAGAAACCAAGATGGTAATACCTGACAAGAGCAGAATGATCATGATGCTAAATTAATTTAAATTGGTTAATTATTTTGGTGTTTTTTTTTGTTTGTTTGGAAAGATAGTGAGAAATACATAGCTGAAATTATGGGAAATAATGTTTCTCTGTAATATAATTCTTGGACCACACATTCAAAGAGGACAGCCTTTAACCAGAAATATGACTTCCCCTTTATTGTCAGAAAACAGTCTTCCTTTAGGTCAACACAGCTTCTTATGGCTTTGGCCTGAACACACACACGCATGCACACACACACATACACACACGAGAATCTCACTTTGATGCAGGAAGATACAAAACACAAATATTTATTTAGAGGTGAACATAGATAAACTGGCAGGAGAAGGAGGAATTGAGAAAAGAGATTGCTTTCTAATGCCTCCAGTATCTGAAATGCTTCCCTGATGTTCTGTGTTGTCCAACAAGTCCTAACAAACTGCATTGCAACTACAGATACCTCTCTTGGGTGACTTAGAGAGATTTTTCAGTCAATAGTGTGAATTAGACTTTAATGCCTTGCATTAAGAGATTTGGGCACTCGTGATATCTAACTTCCATCCATTGTATCATGACAGTTGCAACAATGGATGGACTATGATTTGACAGTTCTGTATCTTTCTTTTTTTTTAAAAAAAAAAACCTATGTGATACACTTTTTAAAATTAAAATGGTTCTTCTCATCTGTGATACTCCACAGCTTTCGGCTCTCTCACTCACTAACCTCTTCAGACTGTAATTGCTACATTTTTGCCTCGCCTCTTCTTAAAATGCTGCCAAAAGAATATACCAGCAATTGGTCCAAGCACCCCAATTACAGACAATTACTCAAAACGAATTCGGAGGGCTTAAAGATCATTCACTATTTAAAGAGGCTCGTCGTCTGGAGAAAAAGAGTGTATGAGAGGGGGAAGGTGTTACCTGAAGCAGGCAATTCCAAAGGCTGGCAAGCTTCATTTTCACCATCTTTCTCTGGGGAGGAAAGCAGCTTCCTGGCCAACATCACAGAAATAGGCTGGACTAATAGAGAAGTGAGGTTTGTTCGGTTCTGTTGATAGCTTCCATCTTGAATGAAAATGGGGAGAGGGGGGTGAAGGGAAGAGCAATTCAGTCAGTGACAATTATAGAACCATTCCTTTTAGACCTCTGTCTTTGAACTATAGAGTTTTTGAAAATATGATTAAGATTCTGGCACAATAAATCCAAAGCTGCTGGAAGAAGTTGCTGAAATGATCTCAGCTGTCACATCCATTTTGTGCTTCATCCTCTTTGAATTAGAGGCCCATCATGATTGAAATCTAGGATACTCAGAGAACAAGACCATCTTTGTTCATGAGAGGATGCAACCAGAACATCTTACTATTTATTTCAGCCTACTTCTATTTCTCCAGCCCAGAGATTTGTTTCTTCTTGTTCCTATTTCTCCAGCCAGGGGTCTTACGAAATTTGTAATAATTGCAGCTTTATTCCATGTATATTACCTGGACATCTAAAGAAAGAACCTGTCAAAATGTCACTGATTTATTCACTAATTATACTGATAACCTACTTTTCTGCCAATGAGCTCAAGACATGTATACAGTGACCTCCTTTTCCACATTTTATACCTCACACCAATTCTGAAACGACAGAACCTGAGAGAGAGATTGAGCACCATGGTTTCCAGAACTGAGCTCTCAATTACCAATCCAACATTTTATTAATACCACAACAGCAACGTTCTCCGTAACGAGTTTCATGTAAGCTTTAAAAGACATTGAGACACTCACAGACAAGAATTTCATATTGACTTGGCTTCATCTTTATTGCATTCTGACCCAGCTTCAAGGTATTTTCTAAGAATGTCTGCTTCTTTCTGAAATCATCATCATGTGATGCTATTAGAAACTTTATCATTTGGCATATTGTTATAGGCCTAAATATCCTATCTGGATTATAAACTGGGTCAGCTCTGGTTAGTACTTGGATGGAAGATTGCCAGGTGCTGTAGGCTATATTTCAGAGGGAGAAACAGGCAAAACATCTCAGAGTATTCCTTACCTAAGAAAACTATGGATTTTAGGGAATCACTTTCAATCAACAAATTGCTTAAAGGCACACACATACATAAATGTTGTTTAGCTATTTGTAAAAAATATTATAAACCACCTTGAATTTCAGAGTGTGAAAAGAGCTGGTTATGAATATAATCCTCATTCTCACCCTATGGGTTCATCTCCACTTGCTGTTTATGGTGCAGGGATGCCAGATCAATTCTATGGTCATTCCATGACAGATGTGATCCAGATAATGTAACCTTGACCCATGCTTCCTGAAGTCACTGGATACTTCAGAGCTTTCCCAAAGCTCTGGAATATTTAGGTACTTTGCGCCCATGTACCTGTCCAAAAGTATCTCCTTCTACGTCCCATCTAGGAGTTTAAGATCTTCTGGAGAAGCCCTGCTCTTGGCCCTGCCCGTCACAAACATGGTTGGCAGGGACAAGGGACAGGGCCTTCTTGGTGGTGACCCCTCGCTTGTGGAATTCACTCCCCGGGGAAATTAGGTCATCTTCATCCTCCCTCTCCTTTAGAAAGAAATTAAAAACATGGATGTGGGACAAGGCCTTTGGGTAATCTTACAGACTTGACAATGATAATAACGACAATTGCTATGGAAATGGATTATGGACAAGCTTAATGGAGACTACAATTACAGAACTCGACGGGACGACGGCCACTAGACTGGTTCCCTTTTTAAATTGTAATAATTTAATGTTTTAACTATTTATAATTATTGATTTATTATATTTTATGTGTAGGCATCAAATATGTGCCAGCTGGAAGCCACCCTGAGTCCCCCCCTAGGGGGTTGAGAAAGGTGGGGTACAAATACCCAAAATAAATAAATAATCAACTGTGGTGCCTCCCAGGATAGAGGGGGTGGCATCTTTATCTCCATCTTCTCCTCCCTATCTCTTCTCCATCTCCACAGCAGGCTGGATATCATCATTCCAAGGTCAAGTAATGTCTACCACCATTTTGGTGCCTGGTGAGCACTGCTAACATAAGTTAGGGGGGGGCAAGGTATAGGGGACAAGGTATGGGGGAGGGAGAGAGATGAGCAGAGCTGACCCAGTATTGACACCACTCACTACCATGCAGCCATTGGGCTAACTTGGGGGTTGACTGGTGATGCTGATTCAGAGTAATTCTCTCCAGATCACCATTGGGGTTACTACCCTGTCAAGATATTTTCCATATTTTTTCTATATTTTTTCAGTTGTTAGCTGGAATGTGAGTCATTTGATGGTGATAATAAATATTCCATTTAAGAAAGCCAATGAGAGAATACAAAGCAGTGATTCCAGTTGGGCTAGTCAGTCTGCCACCAAATATTTTCAATAAACTTTGCTTTCCCCATCAATTGAAATAACAAACTTCTTATACTGCTAAATTCTTCTGTGAGGAATTCATTTTGTCAGTGATGAATAAAGTCAAACAAACATATTTCAACCAGAATGAAAAGAGATATAACTCTTCAATGATTTCTTTTCAAATCATCTTTTAAATCCTTCCCATTATGACCACAAACAGCATTTTAATGATCTTGCAACCTTCTTTTTTCTTTTCTTTAGAAAAGGAAAAGTTTGGCTTCAATAGTGAACTGTAATTGTACGTACCACTTCTTTGACTTTGAACTCCATTGCTAATAGAATTGTATTAGTTTTGAAATAACTGAACTGAACGGTTCATTAATTTTTCACCTTAAGCATAATGGAAATTTGACAGTTTTATGTTGTGAATAGACACTGCAAGGAAGACAATGTTGCATTCTAGGAAATTATAAATTACAACACAAAATAAAAAAAATATGTTTGGTTGAATAAAAGTTTGCTTCTGTCACCTAGACTACACGACAAGTTTACTCTACAATTTAACAGAAACCATTTTTCATTTATTTCAAGGATAGGCAAATCATGGCACATTTAGCTTTCTAAGGCTCTTGGTATGGTCCCCATCCTAAAGAGAAACCCTGATGCAACTGCCATTAAACAGAGCATTCCTAAAAATGACCATACAGCCTCTTCTTAAAACCCTCCAAGAAAAAAGACCCATCACTCTCCAAGGCAACACATGTCGTTGAAAATATGAAGCTCAATAAGATATAAAGAGCAATAAGAAAATAAATAACTAAATGAGAATTGTGGGAAGTATTGAGATGATAAAACATAAGTGTATAGAACTTAAATGTATGAAAACCAAAAAATGAGGCTGTCAAGCACTTGTCTAACTAGGGTTGGATGTGGGAAAATGTCAATGGCTATTAATCTGTTTCCAGGCACTATTAAGGACCTCATCAAGTGAAAGGTGAGGCAAGTGAAAAGTGAGGAAAAGAAGAGGAAAGCAGAGGGAACCATCCTCCTTTGTTTCCTTGTCTTCTGGGATGGCCTCCCATCCCACATGGTTTCCCATGTTTCCTTTTCTTCCATGAACCAAACCATCAAAACCATTCTGGGGAGTCCCGGTGGATGTTGCCCTGCATCATGTGGTGGGCTCTGTGGGACTCCATTTTGGTAATGTGGAGGAATGGGAAGACTGCATCTGATAAGGTCCTAAAAGTCTAGTAATGATCTATAAAATCCTACATGGCTTTGATCCAGAATGCCTGAAAGTCTGTATCTTCTGAGTTTTATGATGCTAAAAGAAAATGGCTTTCTCTCTGTTCCTGTTAATGATATTCTTCTTGATGGATGCTTGTAGGCTATGGAAATCTCTCCAAAGGAAGGCTCAGTTCGCCAATTCTCTGTTTTCTTTTCACCAGGAGACAAAGACCTCCTATCTGAGTATCTTTTCCGTCTTTAACTGCTTGGGGTCTAAAGGTGTGCCATGAGCATTGCTTATAATGTGTAGTAAGCATTTTATGTATTACCATTTTAAATATTTTAACTGAATAGCTTATTTAATTTTTTTGCCATTTTGTTTTAATCTATACTATAAGCCCCCTTGGGTCCCATTTTGAGAGAAATGCGGGTATAAATAAATAAATAAATAAATAAATATGGGGAAAATGTACCCAGGCTGTATCTGCTTTGCCTACTTTAGCTTGGTTTCATTGGAGATATGTTACATCTGCTAATTGAAGCTACTGTTTCACATGACCTCTATTATATTCCATAGCCTTCAAATTCAGAAAAAGTGAAGATAAGGATGAAGGAGGAGGGCAATGATTTGCAAAGATCAGAAGGAAAGGTTAACTGGCAAGTACAATGTGGCCCAGGCTGCAGTAGTCCTAAAGGATTTGGGGGAGCCACTGATCTTTCAAGAAAGTACAAGGAACAGAGTTGATGGATAGAAAACAGGGAGCTATTTCAACCTGGCAAAAGCAGAGTATGAAGAGAACAGCTGGGTTTGTATGGAATACAGAGCAAAGTGAAATAGGTAGGGAATGACAGATAGGCAGAATGTTTGAGTTTGATTTTCTCTTTCTGCTTTTGTTAATGCAAGGTGCCTACGAATAGAAGACTGGCAACTGGCCAATTTGTTGATCGCTTGGTACTTTAGGTAAAAATGTCTTAATTTAGTTTTGTAAACAATCCCACACATGTTGAAAGAAAGAATATTTTGCCACCATTCTAAGGACACTCTCAAAACTGCTTTTCTAAGCAGCTAAAACATACTCTTCAGTCTGTTATAAAAGCACAAAGATTTTTCCCAGGGTGAGTTGGTCCAATGTATAGTTTTCAAATGTTTAAGGATCAAGAGTGCATTTAAGAAGCATGTATTGATTTGAGACTTGGCGAAGTGAAGTGGGCACCTTTCCTGGGGTGTTATGTGCTTTTACGGCAAGCATAACATTTAGTACTCAGTAGGAATACAAGTTATCCAAAAGATTTTGTTTTCTTTTAAAACTCACTTTGGTTTCTTTTAAGCATTGGATTCATTCCTCATGGTGTTCTTTTGAATTTCTCTCCCTTTATCCACACAGATCTATTGTAGTGCGTTATGGAAGAGATCAAGTTATGAACAAGAGTCTTTGCAATTCTTTTGATAGTGTTAACCATGACACTCTTTTTCATTCTTATA